TTACTGTAATAAAGTATACATACCTAATCTGACAAAGGATTTAAAAAAAAAACAGAAATAAATAATAGATTTTTAGATAAAATAATATTAACAAAGTTGATTTCTAAACCTATTTTTTTTATTTAAAAAATTATAAATAAAAAAAAAAAATTAAATTTTTTTTTTGCAAAAATATAAAAATCCAATATTCCGATAAATAATTTGTTAGATACTGTTTATCTCTTAATATTAACTTTTTGATTTTTGATTTTTTTATAATTTTGATATTAATATATTTTGATTTTTTTTTTAATTTGAAATAACATGTGACCTAGTAAATTATTAGATTTATTAGATTTTAATAGCGTAAATAATAGTTTTTTGTTTTTGTAACCTAATATTATTATAAAGTTTTATTAAAAATTAAAATAAATTTATTAAAACTATCAATAGTTTAGGTTGTAACCAAGTCTTGAGTAATTTAATTCTCACAATCTCACGATAATGAAATTATTGATTTAAAAAGAACATGACTATTCACCAAAATAAACAAATACGTAAAATGCCCGTAAGCGCATCTTAAAAATCTACTACATCAATATGCAACTGAAACAACTAACATGAAATTGAAATGATTTGATTGCTTGTTGACAAGTCTAAATTTTGATTATAAAATAAATTATCGACGAATGCCAAGTAGAGGATGCCCATACCATTAAATAATATAGTGGGCCACTCACTTAATGCGTTACTATAAATATAGTATGCCGATTTACCAACCCCTCTTGGCCATTAGTTGTTCTTCTGGTAAGGTATTTATATTAATACCAATCTATATTATTAATTTTTTTTTTTTTTTAAAGAAAAAAAATTTTATTTTTATCAATACTCTTATTAAATATGTATGTTATCACACATAAGGAAGCTTACCATAGGTTCACCTATATCTTCAGAAACATTAGCCAGAATTTTAGGATCGTTATAATGAGTAACAGCTTGTACAATTGCTCTTGCTCGTTTTGCTGGATCACCAGATTTGAATATCCCAGAACCAACGAATACGCCATCGCAACCAAGTTGCATCATTAACGCAGCATCAGCAGGTCTGGTTATATCGGAATCAAATTCAAGAGATTTAATTCAAAAATAAGCATTTTCTATTTAATCATAATTTCAAATTGCTTACGTTGCAACACCACCCGCGGAAAAATTCACAACTGGAAGTCTTTTCAACTTGGCAGTTTCTTTCAATAAGTGATAAGGAGCCTGTAGTTCTTTTGAATAACTATACAATTCTTCTTCACTCATGGAAGATGCTCTCCTAATCTCGCTATTAATGGTTCTCATGTGACGGACTGCCTCTACAATATTACCTGTACCCGCTTCACCTTTAGTACGAATCATAGCGGCTCCCTCGGAAATTCTACGAAGTGCTTCGCCTAAATTTTTTGCGCCGCATACAAATGGTGCTTTAAAATTATGCTTATTTATATGATTTTGCTCGTCAGCTGGTGTGAGAACCTCCGATTCGTCAATAAAATCTATGTCAATAGCTTCTAATATCTGTGCATGTATAAATAATATAGTTAAAATATATTTTGGGTTTTCAATAAAGTCAAAAACAGACAAGACAATACCTGAGCTTCTACAAAATGACCAATTCGCACTTTGGCCATTACTGGAATGGTAACGGCATTTATAATTTCCTTAATTAATTTCGGATCAGACATACGCGCTACTCCACCTGAAGTAATTAATTTAGTAATTGCAAAAACCTAAACAATGAAAATGATTAATAAAAAATTTTGTGTACCTTCTTTTCGAATATCAGCCGGTACTCGTTCTAACGCCATAACCGCGACTGCGCCCGCCTCTTCTGCGATTCTAGCTTGATCAGCATTGATAACATCCATAATTACACCGTTCTATACATATGTATTTTTTTATTATTTCAAGTAACAGGATTAAATGTATTAAAGAAAGTATGATTAAACCTTTAAATTTTGAGCGAAACCAGTCTTAACAGCGAATGTAGCCTTGGTAAGAACACCATTATGAGCTTTGGTCGTTCTGCTCTCATTAGGTGCTAAATTTGCGGGAACTGCAAAATCTTCAGACATTTCAACAGTACGAGAACTATCTAATGCGCGAGTGATCACGACTTTCTTGAGAATCGTCGATATTACGTGCGTACGTATTAAATGTATTCTTGATATGCATCACATGAATATGTAAACCTGCCATCCTGTTGATTATCTCATCTAAAAGCGGTATACGTGAACTAAATCTCTTATTTCATAATTAATCGGACATTCTAACTATAAACAAAATTTTTTTGAATTACAGTCGAATATGGTATAAAAGACCTAGGATATAAGTTTATTAATTTATTGTATTTTCGAAAAAGAAATTTAAAATCAATTAAAACTTGAAATGAGGTCCAAAACAGTCAATAATATGACAGATTTCAAATTGAATTTACTAAAATTATATATAAAAAGACAGTTCTGAGTGAAAAAAAGAAATTTGAACAAGATCGCCAAACTACTAAAACCAAAAAGAATTATAAACAAATAATGCAGAAACCATGTACTTATTCTAAGCTTGAAATATCTTTTCAATAATATAGTAATTTCAAAAAACAAATGTCAATGGTCAAACTATTAATTACTTTCAAACACAAAATTGATCTAGTTATCTTAGTTCCCGACAATATTCTATTCAATAAATTTGAATATACTGTAAATCTTATCATTCTCTTCAAAAAATAAATTCAAATGTATACTCTAATTTCATATTCAAATCAATAATTGAAATACAGCTAATAGGATAATTCACTTTAAACTTCAAGATATATAAACATATTCTGATTCTTTCTTTTAATTACAAATAATATTAAAGATAGAATTTTACTAATCAGAATCAATTTAATATATAATATTATTTGAATACTTAAACAATAAATATATAATTGGATTAAAGTAAAAAAAAAAACTCTTTCTGCTGATCCTCTAACTATACACAAAAAAGATGTTTGCAAGAAGTTTTATTCTTCCTTGCTAATAAAGTCTTTATACTTTCATTAAAACAACTTGAAGCTTATTTTCATTTATCTCTCCTATCCTTTCTTATTTGTTTATAAACTTCTTTAAATAAAAACTTGAGCCTCTAGTGACCTAAAAAGACTCAAGTACATACTTTCTCTACTAATAGCAAGAAGATTCTAAGAAGTAAAAGGACTGACAAATAAAGTGTCATCTCATAGAGCTGGAAGTAACAAAAAATAGAGGTTTTGTTGATAGAGAAAGACTTATTATCCACTTTTTCACATATTATCTTATATCTTTTTAAAGTACTTATTGTTTTTCACAGTTTTCTTGGAGGATTTTGTCTATCTCAGTTTGATCCTGAATTTTTGATAGCACAATGTCACCTGACATCTGATTGGTTAACACAAAATATATTAGTAGCTGAATATAAACAAGTTTCTATTGATCACCTTACATATTCCAATGATATTATTGATAATTGAAAGAATTGATTAATGCCCATGTCTATACCACTCCTCCAATTGGATTAATCTACAGATCAAGTTTTATAAGGCCAATAAAATATGAGTAACAAGTTCCTAGATGATAAAAAAGTTGCTATTTATTCAAACTAAGGTTTTTCTCTTCTATCATCTCAGTAAGGCTAAGTTCAAGACCAAGGTCTTGCTCTTATCCTGGTCAAGCAATATAATCGAATAGTCTCTAGTTCATACTAAGCTCCAATCCTTTGATTACAATTGAGAATACATTTCTCGGAAGTTGTTGAATAATATTGCAATCAACAAGAATCCCCATCTCTTTCAAAACCCTTCCATCATTACAAAGCAAAAAGATTATTAAGAAATCTGATCTTTTGGATAATAGAAGATATATACCAGTAAAATTCTTTTAATTAGGTATAATTGCTGGAAGATATTATATTAAAACAATATGATTCAGTTTCTATTAGATATATAAGAACCTGTGGTTTATCATAAGTCACCTATCTACTGCAGGTGAATAAAAATCACTGCTCAAAGAAGGTTGGGACCAAGAGTGTCCTGAAAATAAAGGCTCCTATTAAGAAATAAGTCTCTTTAGATGATATATGAAAAGAAAATCAAGATCAAAAAAGAATAAGTTCCTCAAATGATTAGTAAAAGAAAGTATATTTCAATTAGATATTTCTTATTGGAAAGAGATCTTAAAAAGCAGATCTTTGAAGGAAGCTAGAAATTTTTTTTTCAAATTTTTACTTTTTCATTTTCTTGTTGTCTATTTAGATATTTTTAAATATTCTTTCTTTCCTTTTTTTTAACTCATTCTTTTGTAGTTTCCTGTATTTTAGTGGTTTGGTAAGACATATAGTAATGACAACCTACTGATAATGATATAGTAGATTAGGAGAGTCTTCACCCAAAGATACTGTGAAACAAAATATTATTCTCAAGGTTAAACTTAAAGGCTTTTATGCTTACAATTAATTAGATTAGAATAATAATTTAACTATAATATGTATCATACTGCTTGAATGAAAATATATTTATGTTTTTAATTAATTAATAAACTAACAATCTAACTTGACTACAGATACTCAAAAATATATATATATATACATGTATATATACAGTAT